CTGCTGCTTCGGTAGTGGCCAGCCTGAGTGGGTGCTGCTCTTACGAGTAGTGCCCCTCTAACAACTAAACCAATTTCTTTATGTTTCTTTTTTTCTTTTTATACTTTGATTTAGTTTTGTTTTGGAGTTCATTGTTCATTTCACTTTTCTATTTGACTTGTACTTAGATTTCTTCATTCAGGAATGGTATTACAAGTTGATGAATAACTTAGTATTCTATCTCTATTATATTTCTTTTAGGTATACACTTTCTTATTTAGAATACATTTCATAGTTTATATTGTAAAGTTGTTTGGTTACATTGGCTATCACACTTGGTGTTCGATTAACCGATCATAGATTGCAGTTTAGTATGTGAATTTAAAAAGATACTTGTTCATATAAGTATTGTTGGTTGTGTAACTTAAGTATTTATCTTATTAGTGTATGTATCTACAATATGAAATTGAATTACTTATAGTATTTGAGTTTTTAGTTTATTTCAACACTTGTCACAATGTTGTTTGTTTACATTGCCATTCCGATTCAATGGCGGGCAGTTTGAAACAGCGACAGTCAGTGTTCGAATTTGGTGATCAGAAATAATATTTTATTTAAAGTATCAAAACAGAATAGATAGTTTACAAATAACTGTTAGTGCATAGTCAACAATACATTACACTATGTACTAACATTCATATTCACTATGCATTTGAACTAAGTTCTTATACCCATTTAACCAATACAAATATAACTGTTGGTACATAGTCATCAATACATTACACCATATGCTAACATTTATATTCACTATGAATTTGAACTAAGTTCTTATACTCATTTAATCAATTCACATATAACTGTTGATACATAGTCACCAATACATTACACTATGTACTAACATTCATATTCACTATGTATTTGAACTAAGTTTCTATAGTCAATGTGTTTAAACAATGAAGTTGAATAGCGGCTCATTGGTTCCAATGGTACTTGGTGTTGTATTTAGTTATGAATAACGAAATTGACTTTATAAAGTAAATTCAGATTTATTATTGTTCGTATAAGTATTGCTATATATTAAACATTACATTAAAACATGTATTAACATTCATATTCAATATGTATTTGAACTAAGTTTCTATAGTCAATGTGTTTAAACAATGAAGTTGAATAGCGGCCTATTGGTTTCAACAGTACTTGGTGTTGTACTTGGTTATGGATAACGAAATTGAATTTAGAAAGTAAATTTAGATTTATTATTGTTCATATAAGTATTGTTATATATTAAACATTACATTACAACATGTATTAACATTCATATTCAATATGTATTTGAACTAAGTTTCTATAGTCAATGTGTTTAAACAATGAAGTTGAATAGCGGCCTATTGGTTTCAACAGTACTTGGTGTTGTACTTGGTTATGGATAACGAAATTGAATTTAGAAAGTAAATTTAGATTTATTATTGTTCATATAAGTATTGTTATATATTAAACATTACATTACAACATGTATTAACATTCATATTCAATATGTATTTGAACTAAGTTTCTATAGTCAATGTGTTTAAACAATGAAGTTGAATAGCGGCCTATTGGTTTCAACAGTACTTGGTGTTGTACTTGGTTATGGATAACGAAATTGAATTTAGAAAGTAAATTTAGATTTATTATTGTTCATATAAGTATTGTTATATATTAAACATTACATTACAACATGTATTAACATTCATATTCAATATGTATTTGAACTAAGTTTCTATAGTCAATGTGTTTAAACAATGAAGTTGAATAGCGGCCTATTGGTTTCAACAGTACTTGGTGTTGTACTTGGTTATGGATAACGAAATTGAATTTAGAAAGTAAATTTAGATTTATTATTGTTCATATAAGTATTGTTATATATTAAACATTACATTACAACATGTATTAACATTCATATTCACTATGTATTTGAACTAAGTTTCTATAGTCAATGTGTTTAAACAATGAAGTTTAATAGCGGCTCATTGGTTCCAATGGTACTTGGTGTTGTATTTAGTTATGAATAACGAAATTGACTTTATAAAGTAAATTCAGATTTATTATTGTTCGTATAAATATTGCTATATATTAAACATTACATTACAAGATGTATTAACATTCATATTCAATATTTATTTGAACTAAGTTTCTATAGTCAATGTGTTTAAACAATGAAGTTGAATAGCGGCCTATTGGTTTCAACAGTACTTCAACAGTACTTGGTGTTGTACTTGGTTATGGATAACGAAATTGAATTTAGAAAGTAAATTTAGATTTATTATTGCTCATATAAGTATTGTTATATATTAAACATTACATTACAACATGTATTAACACTCATATTCAATATGTATTTGAACTAAGTTTCTATAGTCAATGAGTTTAAACAATGAAGTTGAATAGCGGCCTATTGGGTCCAACAGTACTTGGTGTTGTACTTGGTTATGGGTAACGAAATTGAATTTAGTATACGAATTCGCATTTATTATCGCTTATATAAGTATTATTAGTTGAAGAACTTAATTATAAATCATATTAGTACTTGAATATCCATTATAAGTTTGAATTATTAATAAAAATAGCGTTTTTTATTAATGTGAACACTTGTCACATGCTGTTTGTTTACATTGGCCGTTCAAATCGAATGGCGGGAATTACTGGTGCAGCGACAGTTGGCGGCCATAAATGATGTTCTATTTAATGTATGAAATTTGGTTTATTCGTGTGCAATATACTGTTGTTAGATAGATAACATACTTATTAAGTGATTATGTGTTTCTTTTTGACAATATAGTTTTGTTTAACTCATTGGCGTGCTGTTGTAGTAAGGCCGCAAGTAGCCAGCACAACTCTTTCCCTTTCTCACTGCGCTTCCTTTAAAGCAGACGGACACTGAGTGAGTGAGAGAGTCGTCTGCAGTGTTTACATTGGAGCGGTGGTGTGGTGGTGCAGTAATGTGTTGAGTGCTCGTCGGTTAGTTGGACTAGACAGTTACAAGTGATTTATTATATGAAAGAAGTTGATTCTTGTGCATGTTGTTATTAAGAATGTTACTAAACGTAAAGGTGTATGCATTTTCAATATAAAGTTGAATTATTTATGAACTTTGCATTACGTGTGTGTTTACTTGTGATAGCATTGTGTGGTTATATTCAGGATCCCATAGTGATTAGTACAGTGTAGATGCTGCGGTCAGTGCTTGTTAGTGTGATTATAAGTGATTTAATGTATGAAACTAGTTTATTGTTTAACATTATTGTTGAACTTATCAATGTACGTCTATTTACTTGAAGATTCTGTAGTCAATGTGCTTAAACAATGAAGTTGAATAGCGGCCCGTTGGTTCCAACGGTACTTGGTGTTGTATTTGGTTATGTTTACCGAACTTGTATATAACACTTGTATATGTGAACTTGAATGTATCGTTGCTCGCATAAGTATGGTTAGATTGTTCACATTACATTAAAACATGTACTCACATTCATATTCAATATGAATTGAGTTTCTATAGTCAATGTGTTTAAACAATGAAGTTGAATTGCGATCGATGGTACTCGGTGTTGTATTTGGTTTTGTGTACCGAACTTGTATTTAGTATTTGAAATTAGATGTCTCATTGCTCATGTAAGTAT